ACGCCTAGGGGTATTTGCCCACTGTACCTCCATACCAAATTTCAGGACCTTAGGCCCTAAAATGAAGAAGCTGAATCCATTTAAAAAATGGCAGGAGGAGAAGGAGGAGGAGGAGGAGAAGGAGAAGAAACATCAGAAAAAGCAATATGGGTTCACCACCACTTCGTGGTGTGGTGAACCCATAATTAAAAAATCTTTTGCACTCTTCATTCCTTTGAGCACGTTGTAAATTGGAGATACTTCATATTACTAACTCTGCTAAATGCTAATAAACTTCTCATGATTTCATCATTTTCTTGTTAAAGGCCTTTTTGCTTTTTCTGCAAAAGCGTGTGCTGGTTTAGTTTATACATTGTATTGTGAAAATAGTGGTATTTGTTTAGAAGTAAAGGATAGCTGGAATGCACAGGGAACATTCAGAACTGACTCATTGCATATGTCTAAACACTTTGCCATTTTTCTTATGTAGGGGCCAAGGAGTGCTGGTGTTGCAAGAAAGTCCATTTTAGAGGTGCAGATGCGGACATGTAAAATTCAGTCTTAACAGAAAAGCACTTCTTTCTTTCATGCACCATTTTTCAGCACCCACCTGACTCCTGTTACCTAGTATAATTTTGCAGAAAGTTTGCATTCTCACAGAGAGTTTTTCCTCTAATTCTTTCCTCTTTTTCAGATTCTCTTGTTTGTTTTGAAGTGTTCCACGGATGTTTCAATGTTAGCTATATAGGGGCACGAGGAAAACTTCTTTGAGATGCACGTGTTGAAAGACTATATGATTCATTTCTTAGTGGAATTCTTTTTCTTCTAGTCCAACTGCCAAGACGTTTTCACTAGCCTTTTTCCTTCCTTGGAAACTTTTTTTGAAGAAGCCTTCTTCACTGGATTGAAGGCTGTTTGCACTGTGTTTGCAAGACTCCTGGTGAGAAATATTAGCCCTGCAGTTGCTACATTTATAGTACAATGCTGAAATTTATTCCAACACAACAAGGATAAAGAGATCACATTTTCAACAACTGCAGTCACCTTCATCAGGATAATTAACAACCAATTACTTCCAAACGTAAACTCGAGAGTTACAGTTACAGACAATGTCATGTTACCTTATTTGCACGAGACTTTACGGATACTTGACATCAGCAATTGATTAAATGTATTCATAAAGACTCGCATGAATAATGTCAGTTCTCATGAACTCATGTGAAACTCTTGCGAGTTTACAGTTGTACGTTTGGAAGTGATTTGTTCATTAATTATCCTGATGAGGGTGACAGTACTAGTGGTTGTTGAAAATTTGATCTCTCTGTCCTCATTGTGTTAGAATACAGTTAAAATTGTACTACAGTATGATTATTACCAACACAGATGAACTTTCATGATAAGGTGCAACATTTGTTGACAAACCTGTCTGTTTTGTTGTGCACTGCAGCCCCAGCCGAGGGAAGCCAGGTCCGCGTGCCGCGTGGGGAGGTGAGATCGGGGGGACGGGGATCGGGAAGAGCGGGAAGCCGGGACTGCCACGAGACGCCAGGTCGGAGAGAACGCCGTCACTCTCCAGCGTAGACTCGCGGGAATTCTTCGTGGACACAAATCGCTGGAGGTGAGCTATCACTCTTCTACTTGCCCCGATTTATCTTTCTCCTACCTTAAGTATGTTTCAAAAGGATGGGCCCTAATGCTAAAGTCACTATTCCCAACCCAGGACCCAGTCGAGCAGTTTGTGGGGAAAAAAGTATGACATAAAAGACAACAAAAGACAAAAATTTGGAAACAAAAATTGATCATGAGCACTATTTGCATATATTTATAATATGAATTGTTTATTATTTGTTAAAGTACAAAGCCCGGCTGGGCCCCAGTTTTGAAATGTGACCTTAGCAAAAAAATATAGGGAATGGGTTCAAGTATTTATATTTTTTTTATCAACAACTCATTTCAACAATGTCAATGAACTATATCTAAAGATCTCAGCCATTTCTTACATATTAACTGATAACTGAAAGCAGCTTATGAAATTAATTTCTATATCCAAGGTCTCAATACAAATAATTATTCTTTTTGTACACAGTCAAGGCACAGCACGAGATGTGGTCACCCTCAGCCTGTCTAAAGACTACTACTTCTTACGGGAGGAGCAACTCCGCACAGCCAACCCCAGTACAGCTAAACTCCACCCGGTACAGTCTGTGGGAGCTGGGCTGTAGATCAAGTGTGATATACTCAAGAAATTGTTACTCAAGCAACTGGATAGGTTTGAAAACTGTCAGTTGTTTCAAGTAGCATCCACTAATTTTTCGATTCTTTTCATCTGTCACTGATGAAAAATTCTGGATGCTACTTGAACAGTCCCACAGTTTTTAAAACCTATCCAGTTGCTTGAGTAACAATTTCTTGTGTATCTCATTACCTGAATATATGAATGGAAGAACTGTACCTATATATCGTTGAATGACAAATGCAAATGTCAGTGGCAGTTGCCACCAGTTTTAATACACAGAGACCAGACACAAAATCTGTGGACAGGGATCAGTTGAACCCCCTTCCTTCCTTCATATATAATACAGTATCTGTAAGACCAGCAGACGACATCTGATTTGAGATATCAGTATTAGAATATGATGTGGAATAACCCGAGTAGCACAACATGACATGGATGGTCTGTTATTTGCCTTCGTCCAAATTTATGTCATAAGTTTTGAAAGTTCAGTCAAATGAGTACATTCCTGTTTGTGTGTGTGTTGGAAAAGCTGTGTGAGTTGTTGCATTGCGTACTAGTATTTCTTGATTGTTCTACATCTAGTCTTGTTGCATCTAGTGATAGATAATTTCACGATTATCATGTTGAATCTATGCAAGAACATCAATGTTATTTGCCACGTGTCTCTAAGTGTTGTGAACATGTGATGGTATAGGGTAATGTATTTGTTACAAATGTATATATTTGGAGAATATATGTCTTGACACAAAGGGTATATCTATAGCTATAATTTATAAGTTCATAAATTTGTTCTTTGTACCATGTGAACAGAACTGTAAGGTTTTTCTGTTGAGGAGAATTATGCAGTTATTTTATTCCATATTGCAACCCGGTGCTTGGTATGATGTTCTTCTTTCAATGTTGCCCTAAGACTTTTTGAGTATGTGTGCTTTCTTGCAAAGTGTTTTATGTCCGCTTGTATGCATTACTTTTCTTCCATAAAGATGTAATTATTGTTATTCTATGTATATATTTGTACATTTCTGGAAAATAAAAAAGAGGAAATTGATTTATGAGGAAAAGCCCTGTTAGTCTTTTGTTGTTGCTCAAAATCATCTACTCCGTCCTACATGTACATGTATGTCACAGGTCTGAGGGCTCCAAATACATTTGTAGCCTAGTTGTAATGATACAAGAGGCAAAAAATCATGATACAAAAAAAGGCACACTGCTGACTGCAATATTCATCATATTAATGCTTACTCTACAGCTTCAATAGTAGGATTTATTGTATGGTTACGTTGCACAATTAGCAGCATGAATTGTTGCCCTACTGATTAAGAATCAGTACTTACAATCTGTAAATATATACTCTGTAAATATATACCTATATGCTGAGGTTCCTTAGTACGGACATGTCAGATGCAGCTGCCATAGTGTACATGTATACAGTACATGGGAAGCTAATGGTTGCAGTACTTTCACCTGCCACTGGGCGGCGCTTTAAGATTGCCATGCACTGGTCAGGTGTAGCCTGTTGCTGACAGGTTTCCTTCTGCCTGGAGACCTTATCCAATTTCCTACGTTTCAGCCACTTTTAAGTAATTCTTCACAATGCCCTAAAGCAGAAAAGCAGATATTCTGGTCACTACTGCCCAGGTCATGTCCATCCTAACGAATATAATTATGACATAATGAATGGAGTCTACAAAAAAGAAGACCAGAGCCAACAAGCCATTTCCTGCATCTATTTATTACAAGTGTGAAAAACTGCAGTGAAAATTGCACCTTGTGGTACTGAAGATCTCAGTATGAGTGTGGCACCATGATGTGACAAGGCATTCTCTAGAGACAATTTCAAACAATACATTATACAAAGCAACAAGAGGCTTCTCTATACCTCTAAAGCTATTCCTTGGTATACAGGTACTTCATAAAGACATAGGCAACCTTGTAGGTCCCAATATGTATGTATCATCTGCTGCTGAGAATCTATTGCAATCTGATTTAATAAGTGATGATTATTTGATGTAACGTTAAGAAATGTTCCTGCACAGAGTACGTTTTAGCACATGAACTAGAACCAAACTGGACTCATCAAATAGTCCAATATCATCAAAAATGCATTTCTTTTCAAGTCCTTGAAATGGTGAGATGTAAAACACTCATCATGCAAATCCGTTGGACGATGCACCCTGCTAAAGTAGTCCTACATGCAGGGTGTTACCAGTTACAAAATTTCCCCTATGTACAATGGGCAGAATTTCTTGAAAGTCCTACATAACAGAATTCAGTAACACAACAATGGCACTGATAGTAATGGCAGAGCTTTGCAAAGGGAGAAGGGGGAGGGGGGTGTATGAAAAAATGTTCTTTGCTCTGCTTCTATTTACACGAGGTTACTACTTCAACTTTGGTAAGGAATAGAAATACTTTGCTGTTTGTATGGTGACCTCTGATAACCAGGTAAGAACATAGATAGATTTGCTTGCATATGTGATAAACCTTTACCACATTCTACAAATGGTGTCCATGCACTCCAAAACAGAAGTACAACATGTAACTCCCAGTGACTTGTATAGAACAGGATAATGTGCATGAACATACTCTTCTAGAAGATAGACAATAACTTATTTGCTTTGCTTACTTGCTATGTTTCATACAACCTTGGTAACCTCTATCAACATTTATCCACCAGGTTACATATATTTGCCACTTTGAAGTAACTTTGAGAGATCTCTAGTGCAGCGCCCCCTAGTTATGCAGTTTAGAAATGCAGGAGTGCATTTTACTGGGGAACCTTGCATTAGAGATCTGTTTAGATTTTTTTACGGTGAGGAATATATGTGATCTGGAAGGATTATGTTAGTAGATGTTACATGTAGTTCTTTCCCTCTACATTTCACACTAGGTGCCCTGCTTTTCCTTAATGTATTTCCAAACTCTTGCAACTTCGAAGAATCGTTTCACCTTAGTTTCACAGTACAAGAACATGTTGTAACACACATTCAACTAGTGTGGCTTAGTCACACTCACCCCCAAACAGGCACTACACAACATGGCACTTGGACAGCCTCTACACAATGCACAGTTTTACACAGACAAGCATTACAGTTGTGTTTAGAGCAGACTTTTGCATAGACAGCATTTTTTCAAAAGACAGTTCGGAGAGTAAGAAAGGAGAATAATTGCAGGTAGTACCGGTAAAATTTTTTACCTCAAGGCATTTAAAGTTTCATACAAAAGGAGCTGCTTCAATTGGCTAATTCACCCCCAAAATGGTGAATTTAGTGAAGGAAATGTTTCAGTTCCAGCGAGTAAAAATACAAATGTATTGTAACTCCAGAGCATCCTACCATCTAAATACAGTTTCCTTCTTTTGTTTGAGTGCTCTTCATGGCTCATGCTGTACATTTTGCTAACAAACACTGCTGGTACATCACACTATAAAGAAGCCATTGCTATCTCTAACCTTTGCCAAAATTTGACTGAGTACGCCCCGTACAAAAACAAACTTCTTGCATTATTGCTAAATGACATTTACAAGTATTTACAGTAGTGTCTTCTGTCCTGAGGTAGGGAACATTTTTCTTGTTCCTCTTTCTCCAAAAGCACCTATTTACACAGTAATAATAATACTTCACAGGAATATTCTACCACTGAGATATAGTAGTATTCCAAGCTTAAAAACAGTGGTAATAAGCATGTTGACCTTGGTGTCATCACAATGTCAAAACAAAGATGGCTGCCATCTTTATTTCCCATGATGCTCAGTTGTCACGACCAAGAAAACTGATGGCTGCTCTTGCAACTTGTACATCGTATCTTCCACTTGCACATACCAGGTACATATAAAGGCATCTTACTATGACTAAGTTTGCTTTTAATATTACAAATGGTATCCTTGTTTATAAAACAAGACTTGCCACAGCCACTACAAGTGATAATTCTTGTCTAATATTCCTTTAAAAAATTCTCGGTACAAGTGTATCAGATCAGAATCATCTACGTAAGGTGCAACATCTTGTTGAAAATTGTTCTCAAAAAGGTGTGTGGTTTGCAGAAATTTGATGATGGCTGATAGCAAAGATGTGTCACATGTGCAGTCCCTGAAGAATGGCCTGAAAGTGCCAGGGTAGGATTTTTGCATATCTTGATTGAATGGTGGTGGCTCCCTCTGGACTCTCCTCCGCACTGTTTTTGGAAAAGTTTGCTGCAAACCAGCTGCAACAGTAGGTGGACATACAGCACAGCCGGCACCTGGAACAGAGGAGAGAGAACACATTGGTTAGTACGTTTCAAAAGCTGGTAATCATAAAAATGGAACACCCTTTGTTTCATGAATATTCGCAACATATCATTAGTCTGTCAGTTGATACAACCAAGCCGTACAGAAGTTCACAAAAGACACAGTAAAACATACATGTACAACTATAGCTTTATAAGTCGTAATAAGGTACGCTAAGAACTCAAGCAACTGGATATGATTTTAGGAAACAGACGTTTCAGAGAGCATCCACTACCTATCGTCAGTGACACTGGTGAGATCTCAATGTCCAGATCACGAGATATCAAAACCGGAAGTGCTGCTGCAGTACCAAGGAAAGCCGCTAGGGAGCCCAAAATCTAAGTGTTTCTTCCTCTTACCAAACCCTACCTTATGCCAAATATGATTATGATTCATCATTGCCTTCTTGATTTATGCTGTTGACACACAGACACACAAATACGGCCACAAAAACATAACCTTCTTGTCAAAGGTAATAAATTGAAGACAAATTTAGCTTCGGATGACTCACCATCATTGTCATACAAGTGTTCCAGGTTTCATGGATTCCTGGCCCTCGATCCACTGCAACATTTCCTCGCTGAAGGCCTCGGCCAGTCCCTCCTCTGCCTCACCAAAGCTGTAACTGTCCCGCAGGGTGTCGGTGTGGGACTCTGACAGGGACCTGCAACAGGGAAGACACAGGAACATCAGTCAAGCTGTCCAAGCTAAATACAGATCATCTGAACTATATACAGCAATTGTTTTCTATGGTTAACATCATCTTAAAAGCATCCAGTGCCATTTCAGGATGACAAAATTGGAATTTCAAAGTCAATTTTCTGGTAATTTTTTAATGTACTAGTAGTAAGTTATAAAAAAAAATCATAAACAAAACATATAATCAATAAAATAAATAATCAATAATAAAAATTTTTCTTTGCTTTGCCACCCTGAAATTGCATTGGATGCCTTTTAATTTTGCGAGCCATACTGTAAATCTATTGAGAGCCTATAGGGCTGAAAATATGGGTCCAGGCCTGGTTTTGTGTAGTTGTCTGACGTTAAATGATTAACTTAAGTAAAAAATCTACCATGCCATCTACAACTAATATCACAAGACAACTACAATGTAACAGCTCTTACTATCAGCTATGACTCAAAAATACAAAGCTAATATGTACATCTTTGCATACAAGCTCAATTGACAAGAACAATCATTAAATGGACTAGTTCTAAAGCAGCAGTTTCACGATCAGTCAGTGATGCAGACAGTAGATGATTGTAACTGGAAGAAGGCAGGATCATAAAATATCAGTTATGATGTGAGCACTTTATATGATGAATGAAGCATGGTGTAAGTTATTCTTCTGGAATGTCCTAAAGAACTAGCAAGCAAAGTCAAATGTTGCTCCCAGTATTGAAAAATTATAATTAAGTCTTATTCAAATCAAAAGCAGCACCTCGTTCCTTCAATCCCATCAGGCAATTGGCATATCAGATCCCACAATGCATTGCAACATTCCTCCTACACCTTATCAGCATTCAACATGCCATGGATTATGTTCAGTCCAAGCTTCCTTTTTTTCAATTTTCGTAAAGAATACTATAATTCCTGACTTTTTCACGGTACTTCTATGATTTCACGGTCACTTCTGTACTGTGAACTATCATTACTGCTAACAGATCATTCTTCTTTTGTCCTCTCCCTCATACCGTAAAAATATTGTTTTTGGAAACACCTCCAATTTTCTCAGACTGAAATTTTGCTATCGTGAACATAAACAGAATTACAGTACTTTTTTTCATTAAATTCCTTCTTGACGTGTTTTTTTTTCTAGGAAATTTGGACACGAGGTAATGTTTGCTCCTTTGATGTTCCCCAAGGCTTCATGCTCGGACCATCACAAGAAAGAACCCAAAGCTTTACTGCCAAAAGCAAGCCAAGCAGCAGTCCTACTGACTGATTAGTCATGCCATGGCTATTAGTAAACTGTTCCATGATTGGTGCAGGGGGTTTGGGTAGGCGGGGCCAGGCCTGTACATGTACCTGACAAGTCTGGGTGGAAGTTCAGGACTAGGGGGCGAGGAGTCATGGTCATAGTCATGCCACCATGTGTTCCTGGGAAGGGTAAGACATCGAGACACAAACATGGTCATTTTCCAGACCTCACTGTAATCTCATTCTTCTCACATGTCTCCACTGGTGCACACATAACAACGTACAACATCCAAAATGTATATTATCATCATAGTAAATTAGGTTTAGAATCTGTTGACCAAGGGACTAAAAAATAGCATTTGTCACTACCTGTAACACTGGAAGTTCTTCTTTCCATCCATCCAAATCCAAATCATTTGCAAACATAAAGAAATGCTCAAATCTTCTGTTTTTTATCAATCCTAACAGTTTCTTTTCCTTGTGAAATACCTTTCCTTAGAAAGATTCATGAATATTAGGACAAGACCTACACCTCTTAAATCCCTTTTTTACATGTAAGATGCTGGGTTGACCAGTCTGTATTGCGTGAAAAGAAAAGAGAGCATGGTTTGTAGACAACAGTCATGTATGATCAGTATACTGCCATGTACAGAAGTGTGGCATTAGAGTTGCTCACCTGTGTGGAGTACTACTGGTAGACCTGGGAGTACTTGTTCCTGAGGATGCCGGCGACCTGACAGGCTCACATGTCATCAGTGACGGCTTACTCACATGTAAGGCTTGTACGTGCACAGTCTGGGCTTTAGCTTTAACCAACAGAGGGGTACTGGGACTACTGGGGACATTGTCATACTGCGACTTTACGCTGTGGTGTTCCGAATTCTGCGAGCTGGACCGAGACGACCGCCATAACCTCCTTTCGCCGACTTCCTCGCCATTTTCCGAGCTCTGCGATTTGATGGTTTGCAGACGCGGCGCGCCGTAGTGGGCGGGCGAGGAGTTGACCTCCCCCCACTGACAACTAGAATCGCTGTGCGCCGACCCTCTCCTGTAGATCGGCGACTGCACCCACGCTTTTTCCGACAGTTCCGAACTGCTACTCTCACGGCTGAACCCGGGGGAGCCCTGTACGCGGTACATGTGTCCCGGTAAATACCCGCTGCTGCCGCTGGATTTGAGGGACAGGTCCGGGGAGCTGTTTGAAGACGAGTGTTTCTGCATGTACCCCCGTAAGGCCTCGTTCCTCTGCCAGTCCGAGTATGAGCTGTGTACAGAGTTGTGCACGCTGTGCCTGAGCAGGTCGGGGCTGCTGTCCTGGTGGGTCATCCGCTGCAAAGACAGCTGGGATATACTCGTGTGAAGGTCGTGACCCTGCGACCTATAACCTGAACTTGACCCGCTCGACCTTGCCGACAAGGGGTCGGGGTCGTCTAGTGAAGTCTGTTTCCACGTGGATTTCTTCAAGGTGGTTTCCTTGGGTCCCGTAGACTCCATGGACGTTGTTCGCGTCATCCTGATTTGGCGCGAGTGTTGGCGGGGGATCGTGGAAGGCGTGGAGGTCGCTGACCTCAGCTGCTTCTGAGGGGACGGTGGGCAAGATGTTGCATGATGGGAAACGGGTCTCTGTGGTCTCTTAGTCTCAGGAGTTGGTGGGAATTGTTCATCTGTAGGAACGAAAAGATCCTGTCAGCAAAATTCAAACTCAATCAAAGAGATATACTGTTAATATTTCACATTAAAAAATCACTGCAAATAATTCTACCAGAAGAAAAGTCTGGTTCACAGTTCATGTCATTCAAGCAAGGGGATCATAATAGAATCATGCAGGCAAGCAAGAAGCATCCGAGGATCAGAGGAAAGATGTGGCAACCAGCAAACAGAAGAGGTAGGACTGTTGCATGGCTGGGGTTATTCTGATTCTGATTGTATGTGGATTGGAACAACATTCAGCATATTGTTGATTATACCGTCTCTTTTCTATCTACAATCATGTCGGGTTGGAGAAAATGTTAACTAGTAAGGCTGACATTTGAAAAACCCTTTTAAAGTTTACTTGCAATTTATGGATACTGAGTTAATTTCATGATTCAAGTTTCAAGTTTCTGTTCATTTAACCCTCCCCCTGACTGTGAAATTCTACAGTTACAGGTTAAACACTCACCATCATCTACCACATCAGAAACAGAACTACTATCTGAGGGGTCAAGATCTGAAAGTAAGAAGCACACATGTGGAGTTGCAGGGGTCAAGAGGGTAAAACCAAAGGTGCATTATACAAAACAAAGCAGGTTGAAACTATGACAAAATTCTAAAGAACTGGTGAACTCTCAATACACAAACAAATTCAAATCTGTCAGAATGTGAAATAAAGAATCAGTACACTTCAAAGGCAAATGGTTTGTAGTTTCTATGTGAGTTGCAAGACAAAGCTTACCATAGTTTTAAGGGCTGGAACACTACATTTTTCATAACTACAACACTTCTTTGCAGTAAACTCTTTGCCAAGACACTACGTATACATGGCATCAAAACTACTCTACTCTGAATACAGTGGAGATCATTTGTACAAGTAGAGAAATTCTGCATATGACTGAGTATGTGCAGTATACGTTATAACTGTTGTATTTCTAAAAGCACAGAGGGCAAAGCTGCAAAGCGTAAGCGATGTAGTAGAAAGTGACGTGGTTAGAAAGCCGTGAAAGCCGGCTGGGGTACCTTCTATGAACGCTGCGTACGGCGCCATTTTGGCCGGCATACCGGTCTGCTTCCTGAGATGGTTCAGAACGGCCTCCAGGGTTTTCAACTGAAACAAACGAGTATTAACGAAAAAATCAAAACATTGTAACGCTTCAATGTACACACTTATCTAATCAAAGAATTCCTCCACATGTTACATTAATATAGGAGTTTTGACATCCAAAATTAAAAAGTTATTTCATTACACCTGCTTTAGCTTCCTTATTCATAGTTTAGGCCATGTTGATAATATGTTAATATCTTATACATGTAATTATATGGATGACATCCGTGCATGCATGAATTTTCATCGGTTTTCCCCCCAAAAAAGGTTTTCGACCATGCTGTAAATCGTACAAAGCAGCTGCAAAGTGACTCATCAATTGCAAAAAAAATAGGAAAACGACAAATTGTTGGCTGCCAAAATCAATTCCAAATTAAAAGAAGAAAATGTGAAGGAATGAAAATGACTATTCGCAATTCCAAACTCCGTGTGTTCAGTCATTTGTTCAACCTTCATGACCACGTAGATTTCATAATGAAGGTAACTTTCTTTTGCCAAACTTTTTTTATTCAGGTGCTTGCTCGCATCAGTTTTGAGGTTCACAGAGGATGTCACCTATATAATCAAATCAATAAGAGGAAGGAATGCTAACAATGTACATGACTACACTAGCACACCAATGTTAGCACTGATGCTTTACCTTTTGCAGGGACTTCTGGTAGGACTCCTTTCTCTTCTTGCGGACTTTCTTCGCGACGTTTGGGTCGTTGGCGAGTCGTAGGGCAGCGCTGGTGATTTTGGACAAGATCTCATACTCACGCTCTATTCTCTCTAAATCTGCTTCTGCCTCCTAGGGATGGAGTAAGAACAATTCAATCATTCATACAATTGTAGTCAGGGGTCGAAATACAGTGTGTGCAACTTGGTGTAAGTAAATTTGGTGTCGTGCAACTAATTTTTGCCTGTATGCACGACGGTGCAAGTTTGCTTTATCCACTGTTACTAACGGAGAAATACCCAATAAAAAACTGGAAAGGGAACAAATCAACAAAACCAGAATCCATTAAGTTTTTCTTCATTTTTTTGTAATTGATAGGTTACTATCTACATCCCTTTAGTAGGTTAGTAGTGTAAGCAAATATTGGATGCTATTAAAGTTACTACGTGTACTTTTGGTTGTGTACCTATTATTTTTGGGGGGTGCAACTATTTTTCTTCTGGTGCAAGTATGTTTTTTTTCATCTGCATCAGTGCAAGTTGGCCCCAAAATCTATTTCGACCCTGTAGTATTGGGTAGTGGTCTTTCTGTCATTTGAAAACATTTTGCCCAATCCGTCATCTTTGATAGACAAAAATCAGTGTGTAAAGGTACGAAAAGAGAGGTCAAACTTGACCCCATCAAAATGCAGGAAATAGCATTTCAATTTAACACTTTGCACCTTAGATGCTCGACATGATGTTCACATAAAATCAAACAAAATTGAGAGACGAAAAAAATTCTGGCTGGCTAGAACACTGGTATTGGGTAATCAAAACAAGAAACTTGTATGAATTCACCAATAAATTCTCTGGTCAAGAGACTGCAAAAAATCAATTTGCAAGCTTGATGTCAAGAGCAGTTGTTTTCTACACCCTTATGCTGTCCAGGACAAATTTTATCTTATTCATATTCTGCATATTTGAGTGCCTTTTTTTTCACTGACCTGTCCTGCTGACCCTTCCACGACCTTGCTAGAGTAAGTGAATGCTGTCCCCACCCGCCTTCTGATCTGGGGTGGACTCTCCCCGGGTTTCAGTGGTATATCTGAGGACAACACTCCTGTGATCTCCTGTTAAACAAAGTCAAATACCTCATCAATATTTAAAGGAAAGTAAAGTATGCACATCCTGTAAATCACGATTTTTCGTGGTACTGTACTTTTATATTTGTGGTTTTTGCAGTCACCTCTGTACCACAAACTTAATATCATTACCAGAAACAAATAATTCACAGCCTTTTTTTTGCTGCACCTGCCACCACCACGAATGTATACATGTAGTTCTGTGAAGAGTTTACTCAGAGGGCCAACATAAGGTGATATACAGTATAGCTATCTACATAACATTAAATACTTGCACAGACACAATATTTTGTTGTATATTATTGTCAAGAACATTTTCAGTTCAGAACGGCCACAATGTACATGTAGCTACCTAATAATCAACATCAGTCAATATCAGTACATTTTCTGGTCAGCTTCATGTTTGTAGAAAGTTGATATCATAAAATAGACTGAAGCTCCCCCTTGCAGCTCCAGAAATTACTACAGGTGCAGTGCACTTACCGCTTCCTTGATGCAGAGTTGTTTGAGTGCTTCTGTCTTCAGCTTGAGCTGGTCCTCCAGGGTCTCTTTCCTGGCCCGCAGTGCTGCGTACATCTCACGACACAGTTGCTTCTGGGGCTCCGACTGGTCACTGGAAACTGAGGAAGAAAATTCAAACTTTTAGACTGACTTCCATCACTTAGAAGTCCTAAATGCTCAACCAAGTGGAAAAAAGGTGAAACTATTTTCAATTGATAAAAGTAGATGCCATCATCTTACAACACAAATAATGTACATGTACAAATGTAGTTCTCTAACCAGTTTTTCAAAAGACACACACCTCACATAAGAACACAAGGAAACAAACTTCTGATCTTTACTGATGACTACTTTCAAGTTTTAATCATAAGACAGGAAGTGGAAGAGCCCTGGGCTTTGTCCACCTCTGCGTTCTTACTCATAATTAACAAACGAGGAAACTTCACAGGAAGCTAGTGAACCCAGGAAGCCAGTCACGGATTTTCCAACTGGACAGTAATCTGACTAAAATTCCACTGTCAGGCATGTCAAGAAAGAGATAGCAAGTGACGTGTTGCTATCAGACACCATACAATGTTCTTAGAATAGATTTGTAACCTGTGGTGTGCTAACACAACAAAATTATACTAGATAATTATAGAACCAAGAAGACAACACAATTCGACTTTCTGTCAGAAGCGATATAGTACTCTAGCTCCCCTGTAGCTAGCCGGTTTGTTTATGTGTACGTCCTCCTTGTTGATACTACACTGACACCACGTCTTGCTTCTCACAGACCACATGTGAACATCTTCCCACAAACACTTACCACCAGAATACACAGACAAAGACCGCCTTGCTAGCCTCTTCCTTCTCCTGTAACTCATTTTGGACTTCCTCCTTCGAAATTTTTAACAGAACTGACCAACAAGACATGGCCTGGAGGCACATTCTTCTGATTCTTGTACCCGGGTTCCTTCTTGCAGACACATGTCTCAGCCCCGGGATTATTTGTCTTTGGCAAACCTCATCAGTGTAATTTGGAAACGGACCATTTCCTGCTGATGTCAACCCAGGGAATCGTATCATCACTTCCCACTGAACCAGTGTTCTTGCCAGCCTGAATTATTTTTCCGTCCTCTCAATTTTGTTTGCTGTAATGTCATGTTCAACACCGAAGAGTCCTGGGGCATGCTCCCTAGGAAAATGTTGAAATCTTGACCCTCTGAAACTCTTTTGTCTGTATTTTGAGTGGCAAATTTTGCTCATAAACTAAGACTAGATTATATTATTATAATTAATGACATCTCTTTGCATATCTTTTCATGTCGATTTTGATTTTGGTCCGTCAAAGATGACGGATTGGGCAAAATCATTGTCTGTCATCTAGTGGCAAAATTCCTTCCAATGATGGAAAGACAGACACTGGCTAGAACACTGCACTGCACACTCAACCACAGTATTTCTTGACTACACATTTCTACCCTCAATGCTGAGGCTTTCTGTTTTCAGGACCATTGATAGAAATGTATTCACAGGTTGCCGTGTTTACTTCAGACCAATAACAGACCCACAGGCATATATCACCCTCACTACAAGGTAAGCAACCCTGACAGTTATCTGTCTTCTACAAAAACACAGGCTGGCCACTTTTTCCACATGTGCCCAACACCATCTATGTGTCAAATGTAAAACTTGAGGTCCATGTAAGACATACATAACTGTAATATTCTCAACATTCTATTTGACTACTTGCATCAACCTTGTCTTGACTTTGACTAACTTTTGTGTCCTATTGGACTACATGTATAAAAAAATTGTCTTTATTAAAATTATTTGTCAATTAATAGTTCGCAGTTATTAACATGTTGATCTTGAGATCTCACCAGTGTCACTGACGAAAGGTAGTGGATACTACCTGAAACGTCTGACCGTTTCCAAAATCATATCCTTTTGCCTCAGTAATTGTTTTTTGGCTTATTTTATTACCTGGATGTCTAACCTTCAGCGAAATGATATTCTTTGTCTTAGCTTATGATTTTGTCTGTAGCAAACACAGACATTGTACGTACAAAATCTTTGACTTCACTTCCATATAGTTGATTCCTGTCTCTTCTACAATTTACAGCACTTCAATTGTACAGACTCAATTTGCACAGCTCAGTTTACAGTTTGCTCTTTTGGCAGCGATCACACATTGTAAACTCCCTGCAAACAATTAGTCTATCCAGAATAAAGTATGTACAGAATGTTTAACCCTAAAAGTGCTACAGGCTGATATGAAGGCTCCCAGTCATTCTCCTTCGCCTTGACACTATGACAGTTACTATCTAGTCGTTTCATCATTGTGTTTAACATTCAATATCAGTGCACAGACCATAACTAGAGGTGAATATGCTACTACATGTACCTAGTTGTTTTATGCTACTATCTACAATTAAACATTCAAGTCGGTTCATTAAAGTCGGTTCAGAGAATTAGAGGTAAATATTCTCTATCTGCAGTGTTCTATTTTAACAGAATTTTGCCTCTCATGACAGACAAAAATTTTGCCCACTCCATCATCTTTGATACACAAAAATCGGTGTAAAAAGATATGGAAAGAGATGTCATTTAACTAAGCATCTACCAGCAAAATGTATCCTTCAAAATGGAGGAAATAGCATTTCAGAAGGTCAACATTCAGTGCTTGACATAATATTATGCCAAATAAAACTGAGATGATGGGAAAAAAATTCAGGCTGGCTAGAACACTATCCATCTGTATACATACACAATGTACAAGTTTAAGATTAGCCCCATTTCTACATACATGATTCAGCATCAAAAGAACATTCTGTGCTAAGTGTTGCAGTACTTACAACTGTTAGTCCTGGGCAGGCTGCCAAAGCTGGAGCTAGCGGTGATCTGTTCAGACTTGGAGGGTTCGGAGGATGGTGAGGAGAGGACCAGGGCTGCTACAGACGCCCTGTTGTCTGTCAGGTCTGCCGCAATCTCACTCAGGCTGCGACAGTGGGGCAGTCTCGCCTGGGGAAGGTCATGTTCAATGAAAGTCAAGTCAAGGTCATGTAAAAAGTCATGCTGACTACATTTTTTTGTACACATTAGGCCATGCTAATTTGATTATATGGATGACATCCACGTGCGAATGGAACATTTTCAACCATACTGTAAACCGTACAAAGTAGCTGCAAAATTTAATCTATTCCAAAATCTATTCCAAAAATTCCAAAGGAAAAGAAGAGAACGTGCAGAAATGAAGAGTCTATTATTTGCCATGACCATGCAGATTTCATAACGAAGACACCTTTTTTCCATACTCTTTTCCTATTCGCACGCTTGCATCAGTTTTTGGGGTTCCCAGAGGATGTAACCGACAGAATCAAATCAACATGGCCTTATAATAACAAGTTATGAACTGTAAGTTGTTCCATAGCGATAAGTTTCCTTTGTTTTCACATCCTAGGAGGTCACCAGGAAACAATGGCGCTGGCAGAGGGCAAAACTGGGACTTTCAAAACGGATGCAGACAGGATGCAGCTCTGTCCTACAAGGAAGTCCTGCCAAACCACCATTCTTCAAATGTAATTTGAATACAAGTATGCATAGAGTCCACTTTTTCATTGGGTTGAAGTTTTTAGCCTCCTTCACAGACATGTGTCGCCGCAGCGTTAATTTTTTTTGTGGGATTGCTGATTGGCGCATGTTTTGCCACGGAGGGAGTTTTGACACAGAGGGAGTACATGCCACCCCAACAACTAAACTCAGGCCAAGGAAAAAAAATGTTGTGTTTCCTGTTTCAGTCCAGAAAAAATTAGGGTCGGTAGGTAGGGATTATCTTATTTTATTTTTATTTTTTATTTTTTTTTTAGACTTTGCTGATTGCTGTGTTTATATAAGCAGAACATGATGAAAAATCGATTGTGCAATATTATATTTCATCACTCAGGTACTCAGGTGTCAGATCATGGAGCTTTAAACGGTCGATCAGCTCGAAGAACTTAACAGATGTCCCTAGCCCTTGCAGGGCTAAATTCAGATTCAGGTCCTGATTCAAGTCTACAGGTTTTCAGGGTTCTCCCAGGGATTTGGGAGAAAAAAAAAGAAACAAAAAAGAATTCTAAAGAAAAAAAAATTAATCTGCACAAAATTTTAATTGGTTTCTATCCCTTTGTTTGCCTAAAAATCGATAGTATGATTGTATCAATTTGAAACCCCAAAAAATTAGCTAAATTGGTGATTTAAGGTTATTGCGCAATGGACGTGCCCTATGACCTTTAACCTTTGGGGGTCATGCAGGCGTCAACAGCGCCCTCCCCATGCCTTGCCAGTCCGTTTTCGTGGGCAAATTTCTGCTTTTTTAGAGGTTTTGCGACCTAAAAACTCACATCAGAGGAAAAATACACCACAGACGACATTTTCATGGTAAATATCGATAAATGGACCAGGCATTTTTCTGTCCCGTTGCCGATTTTGCTGATTTTCGCCATGTGCTTATAATTTGTTTACGTCGATAGCTACCTTTCCTCGTCCGGTTTTATGGGCAAATTTCCGCTTTTTTAGACGTTTTGGGACTAAAAGACCGACAAAGGGGGAAAAATAAATCATATACATTATTTTTATGAGAAATACTGCTATCATGGACCAGACATTTTTCTTTCGCGTTGCCGAATTTTTGCGGCCGCCGCATGCTGATGGTGCAGTACGGTAGGGAATTTTCTACGATTAGTTCGTGAATGTATCGGCTTTTAAACTTATTTTCGGAGTCGATGGCTTTGTTTTACAAACAAATCAGACAAATTATTAGCGTTGTTTACACGACTTCAAAACGCTAGCGGGGCGCCCAATGTTCCACCAATGACAGCGATTCTCTCGGTAGCGTCGTGCAAAATGTTTTGGTTCAGCAATATGCAGGGGTCCACACAAAAATAAGGCTAGGGTCGGCGGTTTATTTTAGGGTCGGTCGGGAAACAGGAAACACAACATTTATTTTCCTAGGCCTCACTCCGCGGCAAACTAGCGTTCTACAAAAATTACGCCTTCGCCACACAAGTCTGCAAAAAAGGCTAGAAGTTTTAATGCTTGCAAATTTTCGGTTTAACAAATCCCATTCTCTGAGTTTGACAACATTTGAAATTGCCAATCTAAAAAAAAAAACTGAATAAGCAGCCATCATTGATGATTTAGTTTCCTTATTACAAATATAATTCCCTGAATTGCACTTTAAGTCATATGTACAGCCAAGAAGTATTGCTTTCCAATGATGTCATTGGCCGTTTTATCGATCAGTTGTTCCCGAACACTAATCTTCCTGTCAAATAAGAACTACACTTCCTGGCAGAAAGGCTGATGTTGGCAATAACCAGTTAACATAACTGCCCTGAGGGACGACTAGTAAGAAACTACAAGCCAATTCAGAACTTTGTGGCTACTTAATGAAAACATCAGCAATCTGCTAATTCAGGTGAATTGAAGTTATGAGTTAAGTTTCTTCCATAGCTTTTAACTTTCTGCATTACAACGTTAGGTACTGAAACTTAGTGAAAGAACACTAAGACTTGTGAGCAAAGAAATTTTTATGACCTCCTAAAAATTACTAAGACTGTCATCCTGTGTAGCTGCAATAGTTTTATAAAGTAAAAAATAATTTCCTCTACGGCTTCTGTACCGCAAACTTATCATTAGGCCACACCAATTTAATTTCTTGGTTAACGGATTTTTCTAGAAAAATAATGGAGCGGGCGGGCGAAAAAAAAATGAAAATAAAAACAGGCCTAGGCATCCTATTATGGCCCAAAATGGTACGAAAGGAGCCATTAAGTCAACACACCAGGCTGGTTCAAAATTTAAACAATGAATTTTGAACTTTTAATAATACCACTGCATTGAAAGATGGAATAACTGTAACAACTAGGATGAAAAGGACTGTTTTCAACTGTTCAGGGCAAAATATGAGCATTTTGCAGTTGATTCTGGATTTTTATTTTTATTTTCAAATCAGAAAAAAACGAAGCGGCGAATCCGTTAACCAAGAAATTAAATTGGTGTGGCCTTACTGTGAACAAATAATTTGCTTTTTTTTCTGCACCTGCCGCCACTTTGAATGTATAGTTCTGCAAAAAATGTTCTGAGTCAGACTGTAAACTTTTGCTACTGAGAACAAAGTGATTTACAGTATCCTGTGCCTGAGAAGTAATGATGATGTGTTCCTCACCTTGCTCTGTTTCCTGTCCAGGTAGAACTGGTGCTGACTGATGGCCATGGACCACATGGACCGGATCAGGTTGGGCGAGGCGTACCAGGCGTGGACCGTGGTGCTGCTGGGACTGAACGTACGCCGACTCACCGACACCCTGGGGACGAAAAACCAACAACTTCTAAACCCTCACTTCCTCAGTAACAAACAATCATGCTATTTGTAATCAGCTGCAAGAATTCACTGACATATCTTAATGCTCGACATTAGAACAGGTTGTGATGAAGTACTGTAAATCACCATTGTTTCGCGGTACTTTTACAATGTATATTCGCAGTTTTCGCAGTCAGTTCTGAACTCTCTCTTTCTCCCATAGCTTCTGTACAGCAAATTTATTATTGCCAGTACATGTACCATGAACAAATAATTCGTCGACATTCTTTTTGCTGTACCTGCCACTGCAAACATATAGTTCCACGAACATGTCAATTTTCTCAAACTTTTGCTACGGCGAACATTAAGTGATTTACAGTAATACAGTTTAAAACAAAATATTATTATTGTTTATCAATATCATCTCATATCATCTCATAACTGAAATAAAAGTATGATTTTCATGTGCATAATGTCAAAGCTACAAACGTACGTTTGCACAAATTGATATCTACTAATTACCCATAGTTATTAGAGAATAACTAGATTTTAATTAGGCAATTAGGTTATTCTCTAATAACTACGGACAATTAGTAGATATCAATTTGTGCAAACGTACGTTTGTAGCTTTGACCATTATGCACATGAAAATCATACTTTTATTTCAGTTACTTGTACCAAAGTGCTATATTATAACTTTAAAGATAATTACATTTGGGGCAATAAAATGTGATGACGTCATCCATATGGTCCATAAAATCATATTCATAACCCTTTTGTACCCAGGTATCAATATTTAGTACAACTACAGTTCTTTCTAAATTTCTTTGCGAGAAAACGATGGAAAGCTAAAATGCCAAATTAGCCAGGGAGGACACCTTAATCAGATTCATCCAAGCAGGCAATTTTACTTCAGCCTTTGTGCTAATGCTTTTTACCTCAACATATACATGTACATGTATGCAGATACAATAATACAATAAAATCTATAACTGAATGAACCTATCATGTACCAGTTGGCTGCTGTAAAATTTTAAAAAGTTATCGGGTTAAAAAAGTGACAAAAAGTTTTAAGTCCTTCCAGCAGATACTTTAAGTCAGAAAGAGACAATTTAAAGTTGGATTGTTACCTCAACACATAAGTTAGTTAATGTGTCAAAGAGTCATGTTTTTGGTGATTTAAAATTTCAGTTTACAGCACAGTAAGTTTACAGGGAAATAATTGTGGTAAATAAGTTATGCCTGAAATAGTAGTTATAGAAGTTAACCACCTGTTAAACTTAATCCAGAGAATGGTGCCAAATTATAACTTTCAAAAAGTTGTTTAATCTTACCATCAACATTAACATTGGCATTAGTATCATTGCACAAGGATTTAAACAGTGACATCAACAGTGAATATCAATATAACAATGTGGAAAGTCAACTTTTTCAATGGTTTATGACAAGGTGCTATGACCGTGCAATGACACATATAGTGCAAAGTGAGGATGTAGTTTTTTGACGGCAAGTTAGTAGTGTTAGGATTAGTGACTACGGGGCACTCTCCTTCCCAACCTCGTTAGTGACAACACTTGGATCTTGTTCCCAGGATAGTTTAGTAGTAAGGACACCAAATGAATGCATCAGTACCTTACCCCAGTCAGTGTAGCATTGTAGCATCTAAACCTACCACGGCTGAAACATGCTATTCTCTATGGGCTAATTGCTTTGTTGTGAATGGGAGAACTTCCAAGTCAAATGGCTGCCTTTGACGAAACTTGGAGAGGTAAACTTTTTCTACACTTCAAAACAGGTCTCTAGCCAGCTCAAATTTTTTTTCCAGTCAACCCAGGTTCATGTTTAGACCTGGAGGATCTAGGGAGGGTCTGGGGGCAAATTTTGGATTTTCGAACACAATTTCCCACATTTTGAGAGACAAATCATGGGGTTGAGAGCAGTCCTTTAGATGTTTTTACATTTTTTCCCAAGATTTTTGTCAAATATGTCTATCATGGTTGACGGATTGGTTTAAAAATGTTTTTGTCACATGCCACAAAGTTCCTGCAACTGACAGAAAACGGGTGCTGACTAGAGCCCTGCCTCAAAAAAAATCTGAAGACCCAGTGAACCCCTCTGTTAGTTGTGTGGTCTCCCATGCACAGTCCAAAAACACACCACCGGACTCTACCATCTGCAAGGCCAGGGGGGTGTCCAGCACCTCAACCAACACACTCTTAGTCTGTGCGGTGCAACTTACAGTGTCGACGGGTCTGAAATGGCGTCGGTGAGGTCATCTAACTCCTCCAGGGGCTCAGCGAGTGCATCGTCGTACACACTGTACGTGCTGAGCGCATGCACCACTCTACACGGGTGGGGGGGAGGGGAGAAATGTGCGTTGGACTGGTGCCTCTCACAGTGTGCACAGATCATTGTAGTCACCACTACTAAACATCACAGAAGGAGGTGCCCCTTTCTACCCCTAATTAATTAGTCAGATTAATCATCATCTCATCACGCACAAGATGCATTTCTTAGTGGTTATTTCAGTGATCATCACACCATGATTGTTAGTTGATTGTGATTCAAGGACAAGTGTCTCCAAAACAGGACCAACTAGACTAAAACTTCATGAAATTGTTCCAACTTTGGTTTTTATCATTATTGTTTTAGTCTAAAATCACACATTTAACAACTGCTTTTCATGTGTTTTGAATCTAGTGTTGTTATAATGTATGCACTATGTGCAAGTACAGATGTGAGTACTACTTTGTTTTACCTTTGCACAACACAGCAAGTTCTGCATGCGTGCATCCGCCTGTTACTAAAGTGTTGCCACTACTGCAGAAATCACTGAAGCACCTACCAGACTATATTCTCTACAACTCACACCGTAACTCAAAACACAAGTAGAACTAGAAAGGCCAATATTTGCTTTGGAGCAAATACAGCGATGGGTTCACCACATTTTACGACATGGCAGGGAAAGAATGGGAAACACAAGGGAAAACAATGATTTACATTGATATAACTATAATATGAAGTAAAATACAACTAAAACAACAGTTGGATAGCTATTCCCTACTTTATTGGTTAGGATTTTTAATTGCATAATGCAAACTGTTGATTTTCAAATAAAAAAAAACGTCCATGCCCGGCATTCCAATGCTGGAGCAGGAAAGCTTGAAATACCTACCAAAACACTTGAATACAGACATACTGTCAGTATGGAAATGCTTCTGTGCAGGTGGAAATGGTCTGTGCAGGTGTTAATCAAGTTAAATCCCAACAGCCAATCAGCAAGAAGTATAGAGGAAAGCTGCATGCCTATTGGTTGATGCCCTGCATTCCATTGTCATGACTCATGCCCAAACGTGGTAAACAAGGCACACTAATACAGTAATACATTTGCTATAACACAGCCAAAAAACTCAAATAAAACCATTCTAAAAGCCTGTATCACAATAATTTAAAAAACGCCTAGGAGTATTTGCCCACTGTACCTCCATACCAAATTTCAGGACCTTGGGCCCTAAAATGAAGAAGCTGAATCCATTTAAAAAATGGCAGGAGAAGAAGGAGAAGAAACATCAGAAAAAGCAATATGGTTTCACCACACCACTTCGTGGTGTGGTGAACCCATAACTAGAAGTAAAATCTTGAAATTTTCTATTTTGATCCATCCACAAATTGATTTTGTAAAAAGGTATGCATTTTGATCATAGATTTTTAAAACAATTACGGTAGGTATAGAATCAGTAGGGTGGATTGTACCATGTCCATTTTGGAGACACCTGAGGGGGGAGGGGGGTTTGAATTGTTAGTGTGGACACACTGGACTTACCTCCGCGGATCGTGAACCTCAATCGAAAACTTCTTCTCTCTGAAGTACAAATTCTCAAGCTGTCGCCACTGGAAAATCTGAGAAGAAAACACACAAGAAATCTTCATAAGGTAGCACTCCTTTCTAAAATGGCTGCTGACTGACTTCAGGAATAGACTAGACCATGAGGGCTTTCTTTCGAAGGGCTAGGGACGAACAGTTCAACCATACAAACGACCACAAATAAACAGTTTCAAACCTGGCCACTCATGTATTCAGGAAGTTGAATAGAATGTATGTACATGTAGGAGAAAGCTTTTAACTCTACCACAAACAGTTTTACCATTTTCTATATCCATTTTTAACTTTTCCAGGTCAATTTTGTACCACAATTAATAGTAGGTCAAGAAACCTAAGCAGTGGGTCAATATCATTAGTGTGTTTAAACGAGGGCATCAGTAACGACCTACTTCCTTGCAGCTTTTCACATAAAAAATGTAGGAACTTCTTTGGAAGTCTCATTAATAACTAAGATGTTTGAAAGGGTTAGGTGAATATTACATGACAAGTAACCTTTGTAAATGTCCATCCTATTTGAAAGGATTTGCCACTCAAAAGAAGTGCTGTATCCAGAGGACCAATATGTCTTCATTATACAATGTTACATTGTATACATAACATACTGAGGTTAACTTGGTCTGAATAGTGGCCACATTGCAGGTAACATCGAAAATTACCTGCACCAGACAAATTTTAGTAAAACATTGAACTTCTTTCCAACACACAATTGTACAGGGATCAAATTTTCAGCGACCACTGTCGCCTTCATCAGGATAATTAATGACCCATCACTTTACAACGTGATCTCGCAAGAGTTACAGCTACAAACACACCACCCTGTACAATTGTGTGTTGGAATAAAGTTCAACTTTTTAATATGATTACTACAAACACAGATGAACTTTCATGATAATCTGATAATCAGACAAATTTTACTTGCACCACTCAGAATGGATCAGGAAGTACTACCAGGTATCAACATAAACCTGACCTCAAGTCTAAAGGGTTATCTATGGACCTGTCAAGAACTTCTGACAGGAGTGTTAGATGATTCCAGGGCTGACAGATCATCTACATGTAGTCTCACAACGACTCCAAAGCCTTGTCGAAAATCAGGATTTCAGGAAAACTCAAGGTCAACATTGGGCTACTTTTCTACAACATATCAGCCGTGTTGATGTGTTTAATGTTGTTCAGCCAAGCTTTAAATAAAGAACCCTTTAGAGGGGAAAAGTACAGTTTGAACCTGCCCTGTGATGAATTCATCAACACAGTTCCCTAGATACAGTGTTATAAGTCCTGTTTTTCTAGGCTGAAAAGTCTTGCCCTGGTGGCCTTCAGGGTAAAACAAGAAGCCCCAGGGTGGGTTAAGCTATCACTCATGTGTCAGGATGGGTCATGCAAGGTCAAGCAAGGTCAATCTCATCTGGGAGGTCTGTAAGGGCATCCAATGCAATTTTAGGACAGCAAAACAAAAATATTCTTGATGAGGAAATCTGTCTGATATTAACATTATGTAACTGCCATTTCTTAGCACCTTTTCGAAACCATTTCACACTTATGCATTTGAAATAACCCCCAAATTAGTTTTATTTTGGGTACCGCCCATAAACAACTAGAACAAACCTACGATGTCGTTTTCCATCAGTGACATCGCATATTTTCCTCACAGATATCAGTATACTGTGGGATAGGGTTGATTAAACTTGCTACATTGAAGCATGTTTTCATTCCCTGATCTCCCACTATGAAATACTGAACATGAAACAGCTACAAACTTCACTTCCATTAAAATGTGTGTCATATGGTCTTTAAAAGCTGATTACACTCCTATGAGGGTACTGCAAGAACTTGAGTTCTTGTCATGTCACAAAAGGTTTTGTCACAACAGAGAGTGTGTGTGCATACGTTGTACATGTACATGTAGTCTGTAGTTTTAACTCACCTTCCTGGGTGTTAGCTTGTCGCTGTGGTCATACTGTGCGATGCCCTTGTAGCTTAGCCCCAACCACCACGGGATTCCACCCTTGTCCTGAGTCAGTGAAGGGAACAGGAAACATTACTGAGCAAGTCAGATTCTAGTACACTTACCATGTAGACTGCAGGCCTTACCTGTGATTTGCTTCACTGGTTGTGTAGATGGTTTATACGTAGAAAGGCCTTAGGGCATGAGAAGTACAATGACAGCAGGAACTCTATTTTCAGAATCAATATAATCAATTATGCAGTAAGCACTGTTCAAAAGACAACATTCAGTTGAAATCATCAAAATCAAGTGATTGAAATTTGCAGAAAGTAGAGCTTCTGCAAGAAATTATTTATTACAGGAATTATGGCATAAGCCATAGACTTCCTCTATCATTTTATTATCAGATTTAGTACTAGTCCACTACATATTTCTGTATCTCAAGAGTAGGAATTCTACAGAAATGGTTACATGATGCAGGGACAGGTCTGCTTTTTGTACACTCGAGAACACTACGAGTAGGGGACAGGAAGGGGGAGGGGGGCATTCACGCAGTTACAGGAGAATTTACCTGGTATCTTCTGGTCCGGGATGAACATGCCTAATACAGTGGCACAAAGCAGCAGGCTTTCAACTAAAGCTACATTTTCCAACCATGCAGAAAGTCAATCTTTGGTTACTAAATAAAGAAGTCTGTTGCCACCGGTTAACGTTTGGAAAGGTTTACGCTATTAGGGAAAAACATGGTAGCAGGAAGTGGTTTCAGGCAGCTGTGCTTTTCAAAGACATTTTTCTGTTTCCAAAATGATTTTCCATATTGACTACTCAGTTCAACATATCATTCTTATGACCAAAATTCATTGTTCGAAACACAAAGAACTGCAACGATTCTAAAAGGTGAAATTTTATCATGAGTTTAGCCAGGTTCGGTAAGGCACACGTTACACTAAGTCTTGAGAAAAGGAATTCTTGGCACATTCTTATCGATATGAGTTAACCTACACGCAAACTCTTCCTTGTGAGGAATGACAGATGGCTTACAGCTGATAGGCAGACGGCCAATCACACTCCTTAAAACATCCTGTTACATACACTTCAACTTCAACCTAGTATGTATGAAAGCTTGTACAAAAACAGTAACTTTCTATGATTCTATACATTTTTCAATCATGACTGAAACATGCTCAAAATTGATTCCATCCTAGTAGGTTCCCAAGCAATATTCACAGGCGATGAAACGTTAGTAGATAAGAAAATTAACCAGGGATAAGTTAATTTCCTTGGGGGCATGGGGTGTAAAATTTCCTCGTTGTTCATCATTTTAATGGCTGTCTGTATCCTAGAAGTTGTTTTCTTCTCAACTTTGCTTTAAGACGTTATTACATGTATTTATATCAAGCACATTTTCACAGGCCTACAGCTTTTAAGGTTAAATTTTTCCCACCAGGGTACTGTAATTCACATTTTTTTTGCTACTTTCATGTTCACAGTTTTTGTGGTCACTTCTGTACCGCAAACTTATGATTACTGTGAACAAATAATTTGCCGACTTTCTTTTTTCTGCACCTGCCACCACCGTGAACACACAGTTCTGCAAACATGTCCAATTGTCTCAGACGGCGAACTTTTGGTACTGCGAACATGAAGTGAATTACAGTGTTGGACCACACCTTGGCTACTAACACTTCTGTTAGCATGTGGCCATGCCCTACATAGATTCTACCATAACTGGCAAAGAACTTGGTCCATGGGGAGGGCAGCCCTATCACATGTCCTCTTGAGACCTAATTTGTTCCTTGACATTTGCCAAATTTGTTTTTGGTTCTTCAATTCTGCAAGGTTAGGATTCTAATACAAGCTTAGAGGCATTACACTCGTTGAAAAATGAGTTATAAGATTGTTACAGCATACAGGCTACCAAATAACTGGTAGTGTATTTTACTATTCTAGCCTATTTGAAATATACCATAGGCTGCATAGTGTATGAGAATCTATTCATAGAAAAATAAAGCATCTTGCATTGCACAGTAGTATGCCACGAACAATTAAAACAAACATTCTAACATACTAGTGTTGAACACTTTGAAATTTGTTAGAGGTCGTTGTTAGTGTTAATGTCAATTGAACAACAAGTCAAAACATCATGCACAAACATCAACTATTTCTTTTGCAAATTTAATACCGCATGGCACTACTAATACTAGTAATGGCGGGCTACGTACCTTTACTTCGTAGTAGTGTACTCCATAGTTGGGCACGCTCTCCACGATAGACATATAACTGCAGGAAACAACACAGAAACATCAGACCCTTTGTTCCTCACCTAACCAAATTTGGGAGAAAAGACTAGGGCAAATTTCTAGACTGTCAACACATGCACAGATGCGACCACATGATTTCAGTCAAGAAAACTTTGCAGCTGGATTGTCGTGAGTTGACTAAATGGCGCAGTTTGTTCTTGTTCCTGGCCCCTGAGAAAATGTAAATGTTGAGTTTCGCCGGCGGCAGTATGTGTCAGCCCCAATATATTCACGCCAACCCCTTCTGAGCACAAAACTGGCCGTCGCTATAACAAAACTGAACCTTTAAACGGCGTAGTGCCTCTGCTGCTTTTCGTCAAAACCTGGAAGTCAAAATCCTTGAGATACGGGAAGTAAAAACCTCTCTTGTGGCTCAAGTTGTTCTGAAGATTAGGGTGAAGAAATAGGTTCCAGAGCCCCAGGCTGGTACTGATTTGCCACTTCATGGGAATTTGTTCGTTATGGGTAACTGATTGCCTCAGGCATCAAGTTGAAGAAGTAGACTAAATGAAAGAAAGGTCTCGAGGTCCCAAATTGGGGAAAATTGAGCAGGAGGCCACCTAGGTATGTCATTCATGTGGATAATACAGCAGGGGATGGACTGTACAAAGGTAGAGATCAAACACTGAAGTCATGGGTTTGCCCCAGGCTTTATGTTCTAGGAAATAAAAACATGGGGGGCTAATAATCAGGCTTTGATACTTAAATAGACCGACATCAAGACATTGAGATCAAAAGAACTCATGGCCAAGGCAAATATACATCTAGACTTTTGAAGTTTTAACACAGATTTTTGTTTTCAAGTCATGCTGATGTGTGAGACAAAACTGTCCAGACTTGCATTGGTATTTGGGGCAAGAACTTTGGGATCTTCTGGCTTTTACAAAGATTCAATAGTCCTTCAACAGAAAAATTGGCTAATACTTGAGCATTTGTGTATTGATAACTTCAAGGCCCACTAAAGGTTCCACAATTCCAAGTATTGTAAATATCGGTAAGTTTCATTTACCTTTTCAACATTTTTTTACTCAATTTTGTAAATAAACTGTCATCACTAATGCCAAGCCAAGCCAGAGCATTCATATACTGCCTTGATAGATAATGATACAAACAAATTTAAAGAAGTTTCACAAAAATGAAAATATGCAAAATCTTTATCGTCGTTATCAAAATCATGTTTGGTGATGGACACATCTTCTGACACAGTGAAATAGAGTTGTACTTACTTGACTATTGCCTGGCCCCTGCTCTGGCCATTAAACTTCTTGTAGTGGGCTATCACCCTGTCCTCACTGGAACAAACACAGGCCACATGTTAGTAAATATGCCATGACAGGGTAGAAACACTACTGACTTCTGGGGAGTGTGGTAACCAGGTGAAAATTTATCTATTGTTTGTCTTTGTAAGGTATAGGAGCAGTAGTACATGTACAGTACAGTTGTATGAAAATGACCAACTCTATGATGTTCTGTAATAAAATGCATTGTGATTTCTTTGAAGATATTCCAATAATGGTACATGTGACTGTTGTCCACATACTGTAATTCATGATTTCTTTGCGGTACTTTTATATTCACGGTTTTCGTGGTCACTTCTGTACCATGAACTTTTCATTATTTACTGTGATTAAAATATTTGCAGACTTTCTTTTTGCTGCACCTTACGCCACCGTGAACATATAGTTCTGTGAACACCTCCATTTTTCTCAGACTGCAAACAAAAGTGATTTACAGTAATCAGTATGTCTGCAGTTAAACACTGTTGGGAATACATTTCCTATTGTTGCTAAATAAATACCCTTTTCACCACAAATAAATCCACATACAACATTACAAGCATATTCACAATACGGAAACATACAAAGGTTTTTGCAGGATATTTCTGCAATCAGTAAGAGTATGTAAATCCTCTCAATCTGACGGATGATACGTTCCTGTCACACAATACATAATCGAGGGTCTGCATGCCCTTTGGCGCTCAACTCGCGCTTCTGCGCTCGGTCCCTTCGGCTCTAGCCAGAACCAGTTTTCCCTTCAATTTCCGGAAGTTTGCGGAGAGTTACAGAATTCTTTTAACGAATCCGTCAACCTTGACAGGCAAATTAACAAAAATCTTGAGTAAAATATGCCGTCAATTTACCGTTAAGCGTTGCCGACCGTCCTGAATTTACCGTTAAGCGTTATCGGCCCTGCTGAATTTACCGTTAACCGTTGCCAGGACCCCCCCATGCAGACCCTCATAATCCCTTCTAATGACAGGATCATTTTGAATGATACTGTATTACATGTAATCATAGATACTGATCCTCTCTTTCCTAATAAAAGGTTGACATTTATAAACAATCCATACATAAATGTGTATAAAAAAAAGAGAGAGAATGCCGGTTAAAATATTGGGAGGGGGGCAGGTCATGTTTACCTGTGACCTATTATACATGCCTTCACAGTAGCAACACTTCAATGAATGCCATGCAGCTTTGACAGTCCCTAGAGTAGCAACGAAAACCTAACCAAACATGCTAACCCACATTAGATATAAATCACATGGTTAATAAGACTGTCATCTATACACACATACTTCTGAGTCAGTTAGGTCCTGCAAAACTAGTGTGTCTGCTTATAAAGAAGGTAGGGAAATGGACAAGGAGCAGTCCCAAACCTGCAGTGGTCTCCATGTGACTAATGCCTGCCAGACTTTGAAAAATTATCTGTGTATTCCATGGGGAAACAAAGGATGTTGGGAAAACCAAAGCCAAATGGTGGGGAAAGACCGTTAAATATATTGGCAGGGTTGCCAAAAAGGATTCTGGTGAACAAGTTTTGTTGAATGTTGTCTTATGCATGCCTGACATTACGATGTGCTTTGTGTATATACTGTAAATAGTAGATAAAGGCTACATGTAACTGTTCACGAATATGCAAATAAGAATGCGATAGTTACAAGACGTTTTTGGCACCCACTGGGTAGAGACAGCCTACAGTCATGAGTATTGTTCAATGATAATTTTGTTGTCTTATGCATGCCTGACATTACAATGTGCTTTGTGTATACACTGTAAATGGTAGATAAAGGCTGCATGTAACCGTTCACGAACATGCAAATAAGAACATGAGAGTCACAAGACTTTTTTGGCACACAGTGGTTAGAGACAGACCCTGGGAGTTAGTACAGTGATCTGTCCCAGTCCTAATCCCACCACCCACTGCTACTCATGTGGAAACAGGCATGTTCCTTACTCCAAATAAAGAAACAAATCCATCTTATAAGGGACGCACCAGTAACTATTTGGGGGCTGCTGTGAAAACGGCAAAATATGAAAAAAAAGTCCCACGAGAAACAACTTATTTTATGCTCTATTGCAGAACTTAAGTTATGAAAGATGAACAACATTTCATAAACCAAGGCTACTTGTAAAATACCCGAGTGATTTAAATCAAATATTGTATATGGACAACCCCTTTTCAATATGGACCTGCTGCATAGATAATGCAATAATATGAGGCATGAATAGATCTGCATATTTCTTTGTTTTCATTTTCGTGGAATGTCATTTATCAGTTCAATCCAATGCCTGTTGCCAATTAGTAAATGTGTACATGTAAACGTTGTGTATTAGATATAAATCAAATTGCCTAACAGGAATACTAATGGTTTGAAATTGAAATAACTTTATTCATTCTCTTTTATTTTTTTCCATTGATTGTCATGATCAAAAATTACGATTTTAAATATATCCTGTTGGATAAATATGACCTATATGTTAGACATTGCCAGAAAATTTCTGTGACTCACACTATTAACAATATTTCTGGAGCTATTTAGAGCCATTTGACTTGAGTGACAGTTACGAGAATAATTTGAATCCTCTGTCAGTCCACCCATCTTCATTACATTGTAGGAATTCTTGGAATATCTGAAGAGCCATGAAGTTATTTCTTTCGCTGCAGTTTTCTCCGGTTGGTAGAGTGTACTAACTTGTGTGAAAATGCCTGACATTTACAGTTCATTATGGTACTACTGTCTGATACAGTTGAGTGATTACTGATAATATGGCAGCGGCGGTATCTAGTAATCAGACCAGCATTCTGGAAATTTTTTTCCATGCTTGAAGTGATCGAGATAGACATTTCTAGACCCCATGAAAAAAAGGCCAACCAAAGCCTTTCCTGTGACTATAACTTACAAAGACACAGGAAAACTTGAACAATTTGACAATACTCGACTATATCTACATGTAGATACATTTGATTCACATTTTGTGTTTCTTTCACAAGAGAGTGAGTGTGTAACATATTGATTCTACCAGATTCAGTGAACTTGAAACTTGAAAGTACCATATCTCTCCACACATGAACAATATTGGCTTATTATGGGTTTGTAACGTATATCATTCAAGGCAACATAGAGTCACTCTAAGCACAGCAAAATAAACATGTAAAATCTCTCCCCACAGTACATTGGTTATAGAATGTGTGCAGTAAACCATGCACTACAGTGTACATTTTTGTACAATTCATAAGAGAAATCAGGACTTACCAGTAAGAAAGAGAAGGGTGCTCCTTGAGAGCACTGGTGGGTAGAACTGGAAGTTTCTTCAAGTCATTCCTGGCATTTTCATCACTGAGAAGAGAGAATAAACACACTGAACAACAGGATCACAAGAAGGCATGTCCTCAGCTCTGAACTACTGCCCTGCAAATGTGCAGGATGTGTTCTATTCATGGTCTTTTGTCTGCGAGAAAGGCATGTCTAAACCCGTGGAGATACCAGTTGGACAAGCATAGCGACACGTGGGGATAATTCACAGGAAACATGTATCACTTGGCCTTAGTGGTAAATAGAGCAGGCATTGTCCGAGTGAGGAAAAGTTACACGTTCGCCCATGGTTGTGTTGGATAAACCCTAAACCGTGTACGTGCATTTCCCTCACAAAAGAACACCCAGGAACTAACGTTATTCATCATTTCCATTGACACAGCTGTTACATGCAGTATTGTACCACACTCCCTTCAAATGCTGTCAGCTTCGTCCGAAAAAATAAACACCAGAACATGCCGTTTTCCATGTCTGGAACGATCGTGACTACCTAACAGACATGTGGCTGATATCAAAAATAATAACGATATTCTCCATCTATCCACTGCTATTCATTCGTCTTTCATTCAGGGGTATGCAAATTTCGGCTCGATGTATCAAATGTGTGTGACTTACCTTGTATAGTCTCCATGTGTTGCCTGCACGGTTTCCAGAGAGACCATAGAATGAGAAACAAAATTCGTCAGATTCTTTCTGGATCTACATTGTGCTACAACAGCCAACACAATGCTTGAATATCATCCGTAGCCACAAAGAATCCCGTCTACTTACTTACCCTACAAAAGTGGCAACTATAATAATGATTTGATCATTGCTTTAACCAATCACATTACTACATGAGAAACAAAATTCGTCAGATTCTTTCTGGATCTACATTGTGCTACAACAGCCAACACAATTGCTTGTATATCATCAGTAGTAACAAAAAATCAGGTCTACTTACTTATCCTACAAAAGTGGCAACTCTAATAATGATTTGATCATTGCTATAACCAATCGCGTTATTTCTTTAACTACAGGCCCTATACAAATCTGACCTTCCAGGTTGAAACGTCTAATACTTTAAATCCAAATCAAACACACGAAAGAGCCGCCGTTCGCACGAAGTCACGGCACCGTGACTACTGTGACTACCTTCTTCTTACGTCAGCTTCCTGTGGTCTAAAACCACTGCAACAGTTCCAACATTCCAGAGAATTTATGGAAAAGGTTTTAGCCCCACATTTGTGATTCCTATCAGGCCGTGACCTCACATGTTTAGTTTAGCTTGGACCTGGTCCAATCCTGTCAGATACAATGTGGCTCACAAACTAGAATGTCAAGCACTGTATCAAATGTTGCCACGGAATTCATTGCAGAACGATAAAATGAAAAGTTTCAATCTCACTAAAAATTCCTGTCAAAAGTATGATAACACAAATAGAAAATGACAGGAAATGAAGTTAATAATCCTGGCTACAGGTACTTTTGTTACTAAATCAGATTTGCCTTGACCCCTACACTGGGGCAAGGCCACTAGGATTTATAGAAATGAACATGTGGAGATTTGGTACAGTAAGCTGACCCTACATAACACACAACAGGTCAAAACATGTTCTCAAACACTAAGGCCTAGGAAAAAATGTTGCGTTTCCTGTTTCACAATCAGTCCTGAAAAAATTAGGGTCGGTAGGTAAGGATGATCTTTTTCTCTCTTTCTTTCTTTCTTTTTTTAGACTTTGGCCATGTCTAGTGATCCAATGTAGAAAATACAGTTTTAGAATCTACCAAGTAAACTTGCATGAAGATATTTATATTTTCAATGTCAATGTTTGAAAACTGATCTACAATACATGTGTTTTATCACCCAGGTGTCAGATCATGGACCTAAAAAAGGTCGATCAGCTCGAAAATTTATGTCCCTTGCAGGGGTCCACACACACACAAAAAAAGGCTAGGGTTGGCAGTTTTTTCTAGGGTCGGTCGGTCGGAAACACAACATTTTTTCCCTAGGCCCAAAAGTTCAACATGATGCAAAAGAAAGCATGTTAACAACTCTTACCTGCAACACATAAGCTGCCAACTCGAAGGCTGTTTCGCTGTCTACCTCTAGCTGACCCTGTCAGGAGTAAAGACCGGATAATATGAGTGGAATTCTGAGGTCGCAGGCATGGATTTGTGCATGACTGGGCTTCTATTGTCAGGATGGGATGATAATAGACTGTGATTCAGTCTCGTGATTGGCCAAACCTTCAAGGACCAACCACTCTTTAATAAAGTGTTTGGAAACCACAATTATGTCTGTCACTACACATGGAAGGGTTCTTATCAATTTGACTTTGAAAAGTTGCCTAATCATCTCAATTTACCCCCTAGGTTTTTTAAGTAAACATGAAGTCTTATGGGACCAAAGGTTTGCAATTTCTTCTGAATTTTTCCAGAGGAATTGTTACTTTAAACAAATTATGTTCCTTCTGAAATATTACACCATCCTAGAAGGAAGCCATCTTTTGATGTCTGACTGATTTTACATGGTTTCTAGCTGTTTATAAACAACTCACAATCATATTATGGTGCAGACAATGACATATACATTGTATACATAAATCCTACATATACATGTATTATAGAAATCTTAACCAGTACTTATTGAGTTTTTACATGTACATGCGAGTATGCCTCTCACACTGACAATCACAGCATTCCAATGACTATTTACTTAGTCCTTGAAGTTTGAACAACTTCCTGTACCTTTACAATGAGTAAACTACATCAAGTGAAAGGCTACCAACTACCATGACCCAAACATTCACAGGAATACATTTTTTGAAACAAAAAACAAATAAACTTCTTACGTACACCCTCTTGCACAACAAGGACATAACAATGGAATTCGCTCTCATGTATTCAAAAGCATTTCGTGAATGAAAGAAACAAGACAAGAAACACCTGAACCAACAAAACTAACAAACACCTGTCCTACAGGTTAGACTAACTTAGAAATAGAAAATTTACCTGTCTACTTGTAGGGAAAATCAAGTGCATCAGTAGTATGGTCAACAAATAGTGTAGGATAGTCCAGGAGTTGTCAGCCAATATACATGTTTACATGCTGAACAGGGGCTTTTATAAAATCCGGATTAGGCCATAGTGATTCATTTCAGGGGTGAGCATCAATTATAGACTATCAATTTGGAACAGTATACAATTTTCTGCGTTCACATCCGAAAAAAAAATTCAGGTCAAATTGCATTGTTCACAAAATTGTAGATTTTACTACTTTTAGTAAATTTAAAGGCATCCAATGTAATTTCAGGGCAGCAAAATTAGATTTTTAAAGTCAATTTCCTGATCATTCTTTTTAATGTACATGTAATAAGTTGAATCAACCCTATCCCATAGCATACTGATATCTGTGAGGCAAAAATGTAATTTCACTGATGGAAAATGGTTGCTTGTTTTGTATCATAGGCTGCTTCAGCTATTTATGGGTGGTACCAAAAATAAAGAAATGCTCACATGGGTTATTTGGGGCTATTTCAAATGCTTCGGGTATGAAATGATGATGAAAATGTGCTAAGAAATGGCAGTAAGTGTCAATATCAGACAGATTTCCTCATCTAGAATATTTTTTTTGTTTTGTTGCCCTGAAATTGCACTGAATGCCTTTAACACGATTCTCTGAATTCCTACAATATAGTGTAACTGTGATGACAAGAAACCCCAAATGGAACTAAAAACTGCCTGTCAGGTTATTTCTGACACAACTCCTGAGTAACACTACCCCCATGTGGGGCTCCCCTGTACAAACATTCTCACACCTGCCCACTTCACACACATTCCTACACCTACCTTGAATATGGATGACTTTGCTTGTAAGAAGAATAGTTCTATGGTGACTGGGTCCCGTAGATACGCTATACTCTCTATGTAAAACCTGCAAGTGGGGGCAGAAAAGAGCACTTCACTTAGACAAGGTAATGGCAAATAATTACAAAGGTCAATCAATGTAAATTCACCTACACCCTTACCTCAGACATTGTGATACAAACAGTTTAAACAGAAGAAAACTAAGTATAGTTACTGAAACAGAATGTGGTATTTGTTTGTCTTTTGTGAACATGTGAGAAATAGTTTATTTAAAGAAGATGTACACTTGAGACGGGATAAAACCTAGCTTCATATTTGCAACATGAATGCCAAATCAAAGAAAACAGCACCTAGATACACAGGAATGTTAAAATGAATGGAAAAGAACTTTACAATTTCATGCAGGTGAGAAATCTGCTTGCAAAAGTAATGTCTCCAATGTGTCAATGAAAAAATGAGTAAATCTTGCACATACAGTTCTCAACAATACATAGTAAATAGGGTCGGGTAGGTAGAGATTTTCTTCTTTACAATTTTTTTTTTAGATTTTGGTTAAGATAATCCAACAAATAAAGTTTAACAATGCATTGGGACTGTCTCAAGGACCCGTCCACCTGTTTGCCCATGGACAAATATTTCACCTGATTTACTGAAGGAAACATTTTCTTCTGAAAATGCATTTAAATGACATTTCAGAATTTAGAGGGTTGGAAATTCAGATCAAATATTTCAAAGCCTTACTAGCGGGTGATAAAAAAAGGGCCAGGATTGGCTATTTTATTCTAGGGTCGGTCGGTCAACCTAGCAACAATATTTTTCCTAGGCCTAAGCATAGCCTAAAGTTGCAGTTGAAGGGTACATACACAGTTCTATGGTGACTGGGTCCTTAGTAGTACTTTGAGTTTGAACAATAAACTTTATGTTGACATATATTCATATTGTCTGAACCTTACTTCTTCCCTCATGACCTTAATGAAAAGCGGCTTGCATACTGATTTGAGATTTCATGAATACAGAATGGTTCTAACAAACAAACAAACAAATAAACAAACAAGAGTTCCGAGATCTCATACCTCCATGAAATATGGGCTTGCTTTGTCCTCATTAATTATGCAAATACCTCTGCATTAACATATTATATGCATAGCGATGCATACCTTTAAGTAAGTTACACATGTTACGAGGTATAAAATTCCCATCATTCACCAATAAAGATTCAGAGAATTTTCACATTAATTATGCAAATTAGGTCATCATTTGCATAATTGATATCTGTTGATGTTTACATTAAATAGATTACATGTATAGCAGTACCATTATAAGAAACACTGTAATTATAAAATTTCCTCATTAATTATGCAAATTAAGTCCTCATTTGCACAATTTGCATTTAATCCTGTACAACTGTCTCTCAGGTACCTACACATCAAAAATGATGAAAATACGTTGTTCCAATCTGGACTTATTGGCTTTGAAAGTTTTTACCAGAAACTAACCTGCAGTTCCAGAACAAGCTGCTAGGGGGACCAAACTTACGCCACTTATTCCTAACAGAATAAGCTATCTGTCACCAAAAAGTCAAGACCATAGCTTGCTCAGGACAAAAGATACAAAAACCGGAAGTTCTGCTGCAGTACCAAGGTCATCCACCAGGAGGCCCATACTTGACCTTGACCTTTGTCTTTCCAAGACTTACCATCATACCAAATATCATTACAATCCATAAAGGCGTTCTGAAGTTATGATGACCACAAAGTTGCGGAAACACACACAGACAGACAGACAGACACACAGACATACATACATACAGACAGACACGCCAAAAACAATACCTCCATTTTTCATGGAGGTAACAAACACAAACCTGACAGCGAACTGTAGGGTGAGTGTACCAGCCCTTCTGGGGAACTCATGCTCCAACACCCGTCTGTCTGCCTGCAGCCAGTTCAAGTGGTGTCTGGAGGGACAGGAAATATCTGGGTCAGTCTTCTTTTCCTGTTCTATAGGACACAGGCAGCCCTACTTCTGCCTGCTATCTGATCATGTCAACCTTATCCAACACTTGATAGTTTGGTGGTCTGATGGAAATTAGTATCAGAGGGTCAAATTCATATGTTCATGCCCTGGGCTCTTCTAGAACACTACATAAGGCCACGTTGATTTGATTATATGGGTGACATCCACACCTGTGTGAATTTTTGCCTGTTTCAACTTAATATAACTTCAATTCAAGGTTTTCAACCATAGTGTAAATCGTACATAGCAGCTGCAAAATGGGCAAATGTATGCCCCAAATTGCAAAGAAATAAATGTTGGAAAACGTAGAATGCCAAAATCAATTCCAAAGGAATAATGTGAGAAAAAGAAAATAAAGAGTCTATTCTTCGCCGTACCATACTCTGTGTGTGTGTTTAGTCATTTGTTCAACCTTCATGACCACGTAGATTTCATGAAGGCAACTATTTTTTGGCCAAACATTTTTTATTTGCACGCTCGCATCAATTTTGGGGTTCCCAGAGGATGTCATCCATATAATAAAATCAACATGGCCTACACAGATTCTATTTTCTTTTGCACTCTATTTATGCTATTTAATGTATGTATTCATATCTCCTTATCTTGAAGAATGAGCATGGATGTGTTATAAGTCACTACTTAAATATTTCTTACTAATCTTCATTCAACAGAATGCAAATACACTGCAATCCACACAATAGATTATAGCATTGACTTGCATGCAACCACTATCTACATTGAATGTCTACATGTACCCAAGTATATGTCTGTGTACCTAATATCTAGAGTGATACATACTAACTAACAGATTATTACACTTTAAATTACCTTCTGCTTTACCCGGTGGGGCATGGCAAGAAAAAAACACACAAAAAGAGAGAAAAAGAAGTTGTCATATCATTCAGCATCAATATCCCCCAAAACAAGACAAGACACAAGAGTCATCTTCAATTCTACATGTCAAAGTTTGTAAGCAATGCATACTATCTACAAGTCGGCCCAGAGGCAGTACTGCAACCCCCTCTAGCAGCTAAGTTGAGTATTGCACATACTAGATGCTTTCCAAATTTGACCAGATGGGTAATTTCAAAGCTATGTCAGTCAGAATGAATGATGACAGGTGCCTTGTCAAACACATGTTACACAGCAGATGGTACTCATGGCCACAAGGTTAGATTCCCTTTGAAAATAAACTGATGGAACATGTAATAAAATGTTTATCACTTTCAAAACTTTTGCTTCAACACTTTCCAAACAGTATACCACAATTTATTGTGTCCTTCCTGACAAAGTTCCTTTTGAAGACCTTATAAAAATAAACTTGACAGTACTCAAAGAGTATAAACCTCAAAAAAGGCAGCCTAGTTCTACCAGGTACATTTACAGTACATGCACAAATGAATGCAATCTGCAATTTGAAAGGATGGTGCTCTGAGGAGGTTGTTTGAGGGCTTGTCCTATCTTTTAATTTCTAATCCATCAAAATTGATTCCAAAAATGCCTTTTCATCCAGATCTATTGATATGTTGATCTCTTTCCTTCCTTAGGCCAAGGTTTACATGTACCTTCAAAAATAACTACCGGAGTACTTTAATTCATAATTTTTTCGTGGTACTTTTATCTTCTCGTTTTTTGCAGTCAGTTTTGTACCATAAACTTACCACTTTCACTGTATCAATAATACAGTGAACAAATAATTTGCCGACGTTTTTTTCTCCACCTGCCTTCACCAAGAACAAAAAGTTACGCAAATGTGTCCATTTTTCTCAGAACGAGAACATAAATCAAGCAAACAAACAAACAAACATGCTATTGAAAACATTTTCTCCTTGGCGATGGCAGAGGTGACAAGTCCTGTCATTGGACTGTTAGACTTTCCATACTTGGCCTTTAACTCTAGGCCTTGGGGACAGTGCCAGGAGTGATAAATGATTGTTGTTGTTATGGTGTAGAGGTCAGAGGAAATGCTGCCACTGTGAAACACAATATCCCCAGGGCAAAGGGCCATGTCTGGAGCAACACCCTGTCTGACCCTGCAGTACCTAGGTAACAGCTGGGACAGGTGGGACAGGGGGCGCTGCTGATCAATCAGACACGGGTCACCTGAGGCTGATCACCTGGGACTGAAGGTATGGTGTATAAAAGCCTGCACCATGGGCAGTGGGATTTATGTGGTTTACTTCTGAAACATGATACTTTAACTAATTAGATGGATGTCTAGATCATACCCCAGACTTAATATTATAATGCCTGAAAGTGAAATTTGACAGGAAAATGGCAAATGCAGATAAGGATGCACCTGTGTTGAATACAAGAATTTATTGAAAATGATAGACTGGAGACATGGTACCCAGAGTTTTTATCGTGATTATGTTCAGTGACTTTCTCCATAATTTGGGACAAACTCTTGCACATGGCATTTCCAAGGGAAAAAAACATCACAGAAATCAATTCAAACACAATCCGACATTTGTTCAATTTATGATGAAGTTACAAAACTAATGCCCACATGACATGTTGAAAAACTTGTAACATTTGAAACTGTCCCGTGGCTTTGGGCCAAACTGGTTCAATCCAGACCACATGTCCACACCCCAAGTGTGGTAAAAATGGATTAGATTTGGTTTGGTAATGTTACATGGCCAGGGAAAAGACCTTTTTACCTGTGGAATTCACTGTCTCAATACACGGCATTGTGTTCATGGTCTGGTGTGGCAAAGTGATTAAAAACCATGGCAGTGAGCGTGTGTGGATAGAAAAACAATGTATTCATCACATAGAATCTGTGATCTTGGATGAATGCGAATGCCCCACCTTACTCTCGCCCCAAGAAAGTTTCTCAACAATTCTTGGTCCCAAAACTTTGAACTGACATAATGCCACACCGATTTAACTTGTTGGTTCATTTTTAATGAAAAATTTGAAGCAACAGGACGAAAAATAAAGACAGGCCTAGATACATGTATTCTTTTTTTTGGTTGTTCGTCGGTCGAGTCAACAATGACATAGGTATTCTATGATAGCCCCAAATGTCGTACATTGTAATAGGAACCAAAAAGTCAACACAACAGGCTGGTTTATAATTCAAGCAATAATTTCTAAGGAACAGTACATATGAATATCTTGTTCACTTGTACCACATGCTGCTTGTTTTGTAATTGCATTTTCCCTCCCATGGTGTTGAATCTAATGAGTAATTCAATCATCTTATCTATACTGATAAGGAATAATAATCAAGATAGGCAGTCAGAATATCCATAATACGAATGGCCTTTTCACCTTTCAGGTAACATTGACTTGCGCTTTTATCTCAAATAAAAATATTCTAGAGTATTTAAATTTCACACTGACACAACCCATCACTTCAAATTTTATACCAAAGCACAAAAATGATGAACAATTTTACATTCAAACATGTGTTACTATTTTAGTAGTTTTGGGGAACAATTTGTTGCAATGGCATGTCTTGCCATATGTGCATTTTTTATGATACTTCATAGATCGAATTGTAAATAATTGATGCTTGCACTTGAATTTCATGCAACATGCGTAAACACATTTTTCTCTTTGTTATTACGGTATAATGTCATCAATATGAACTGTCAATTCTGAAAAGCGAAGACAATTATCAGGGCTCAAAATACTGGGTGCATGTGCACCCAAAATTGGAGCTGTGCACCATTTTTTTCTCTGTGGGTGCACCAGTGCACTTGAAAATTTTAATAGGTTTGGGTATGTAAAGATATTAAATATATACAACATATTCTTGATATGTAAGTGTCAGAAAAATAATAAAATCTTTGTTGTTTAAGATAAAATACCCTTCTGTATGCCCAAATTTTTTAGGTTGGGTGCACCAGTGCACCTATTCCCCATAATACATTTCGAGTCCTGAAATTTATGGAGGATATGACTTGTAACTGATGGATATGTAGGAAATATGAGAAAACAGTCATGCATGGACCACTGAAGTCCCACGGGGGCCCAAACTAGGATCTGATATCAGTTAAGAGGGATTTCTGGGTCTGCTACAAACCAATCTGTAGAGTACAAAATAATAAAATTTTTTGCACATTCAGTTTGCTGCCACTTTTAAAAAAACATGCAAAACTTCATCTCATTTCTTTCTTTCCTTATAAAACAAAGAAAATGATTATTGTAGCTAAACTACATGTATATTAAAGGCACCTAGTGCAGTTTTTAGGGTTTGGAAACCCGATTTTTCAGAGCCAATATTCTAGTCATTTATCTACATACTAAGTGAAAACCACACTATCCCAATGTATATTGACTCTTATGGAGCAAAAATATCCAAAGTTCTGACGGAAAATGGACACTGGAAGGACCCTGGGCTGATTCTTAGGGTACAACCCAGAAAATACAGGACTCATCTTGGGGCTTGTTTCTGCAGTTTCTTAACCAAAGTATGAAATGCTGACTCAAATGTGCTAATGTGAAGTGTCAAAGATTGCCTTATTCAGAATTTTTCCAGTTTTGCTGCCCTGAAATTGCATTGGATGCTTTTAAAAAGGGTTGAAAATACACATGAAATCTAATTTACACATTTGTGCCTTCATACATGTGTGTCAAGCATCAGTGTAAGTCCTTCCCTAGACATTTATTTCACCATGGTGCATAAATGCAACAAAGTACCCCCATTAATTCACCTTTTATGTACAATACAAAATGGGCATAAAAAATCCATCAGGCATGTAAAAGTAAAAGAATTGTTTTACAGGTGGCTTAACAATTCTTTACGATCAACACAATCTTTAGAAGACTGGACAAATTTTTGTTCTAAGGGGCACTTTAGACTGACGACGGTTACATAGTCGTACGAATGTTTATCGTCAAGATGTTGCCGGCGACGGTATTTTACAACCGTCTAAAGAGGATCAAAATAGTCGCACGACGGTAATCCTCGAATCGTCGTCACTACCA